AGTGAAATAAATGGGTGTCGCTGTGCTGCAATAAAACTCTATTTACAAACACTGAAATTTGACCTTCACATCATTTTCATGGATTGTGAAATATTATTTTTCTTTTGTTTGGTTTCCATTGATTAAAAATTAAAGAAAAATCATTCTTAGCTAAAAGGTCATATATACCTAAGACCAGACTGGTCCTCCCATGTCCCTAGCAAGCTGCCCAGGCAGCCATTAATACATGGAGAACCCCTGACCCCAACCCAGAACCTGTTCTCATCTCAAAAAAAGAAAGAAGAAAACCCTCCTGAAGGAGAGGCTCCCCTGAGTCTGCCTTGGACACCGGAGGTGGTCTGCCCCGCACACCGTCAGCCTGACTTTTCTGAGAGGCCGCGTTTGATGCACCAAGGGGGGCATCTCAGCAAAGCCGGGGCCCTAAGTCTCTCTCCTAAGTGGCCTGGGATGGAGGTGGAGAGCTGAGAGTGTAGACATGAGTGTTTTCCAAACAAAAGAAAACCCGACTACTTTCTGGAACCACAGGGGAGTTCCCAAGCCTGGGGCCAGATGGGCTGGTCGCAGGAACTGACAGGAAAGCTGGGCCAGAGAGGAAGGCGCTGAGGGACCCAAGGCGGGCTCCGTGGCGGCAGGGCCATGGGGAGTGCACAGGGTCCCACAGCCTGGACAGTGTCTGCTGCAGAATCCCTGCTCAGAACTTACTTGGTGAATAAACCAACAGGAGGAAGGAGAAGAGGAGAAGAGGGAGGGAGGGGGAGAGAAGAACAAGAGTCAGAGAGACCTGGATTCCCTTCACTTTGCAATTTCTGGCTCCTGTTTCTTCACAAATCCCAGCCTTACCCCTGCCACCTCTGCTCCCTTGGAAAATAAATTCCCCTTCTTGACTCAAGCCTGCCCCAGTGGCCACCAGTTGCTTATAACCAACACATTCTGAAAAAATTCTCAAAATGCTAAATAAATCCTTGGCGTCACCATTTCGTCCCCACCTGCTAATCAGCCCCTGAAGTCTGAGCGGCCCCAAACCAGTTCCCACAGCCTCATCGAAACCCTGCACCCCTTTGGCTCCAGTGGGCCCTGCTGGTCACCCCTTCCTCTCTTCCCACCGCTCTCCAGATAAACACAAACTCCTCCCCAGGGTCCTGTGCAGCAAGGCCCCTGCTACCTTCAGTGTACACCAAGCTCCCCCTGATCTCTGCTCTGGCCACATCAGCCTTCTCTCACTCTCAAGATGCTTTTCTGGCCACAGGACATTTGCACATGCTGCGTCCTCTTCCTGGAAGACTCACTGCTCAGCAAGTAAATTATTGTTCAGCTTTGTCATGCTGACTCATTCATCATTTTCAGAAGAAGCCTTTCCTGATAACCTCTGAGGCACACTCGGGCCTGTGGTCATGGGCAGCGCATGCACTGGAAGTCCACAGTCACGGGCTTGCATCCCAGCTCTGCTTTGATCCTATGTCAACCTTGGCATGTCACTGCCACACTCCGCCCGTTTGCTCGGCTGTATAATTGGGAAGGTGAGCAAGGTGTCTTCTTCCCTTTTCCATTCAGCGCATCTAGCTTCAGTGACTCTTTGAGAATGTCCTCTGCATTTCATGGCGAGAGAGATCCCTGAGGATGCCAGGAGCATCCTGTGAGACACCTACCTCCGCCAGGGGCTTGATGTTGTCCTTCTTGAACAGAGCAGAAGTGAGGGCCACACCACTCTCAGAAATGGCCCGGTGGAAGAGGTTCTTGGCCAGGGGAGACAAAACCTGGGAGGGGAGAGGACAGGAGGTGAATTCATGCACAGGGGAGGGTCCACCCACAGCTCTGCCCTGGACAGGTCCCGGGGAGACCCTGGGGCTCAGAGGGCACCAGGGCTCCTCTCCTGGCCTGGCCTGTTTCCCAGCCTCACCCTGGGCCCTGCCTCCCCCAGACAACCTAGGCGGAACGGAGCCGGAGCACAGACGCGGGACGGAACAGGAGACTGTGGCACGCAGAGCTCACAGCAGTCAAAAGCACCAGAAAGACAGCTTGGCAACTACCAGCCGCACGGTCTGGTTCAGCATGTCCGTTAATCAGAAGAAAATGACCAGGGAGGCACACAAAGACTTCTGAGATGCCCGTGCTGGTTACAGAATTGGAAATAACCCCAGGATCTCATACTGCGAGATTGGGTAAAGCAGTGATTTTTCATTGTTACCACGGAATACTATGCAATTGTAAAAGATAACATCACAGGAGAGTGTTTAATGTATAGGGAAATTCTTTTGTTATAGTGTAATATTATCGTATGTTATACTAACATTTATGGTAATTAACATGCATCATGTTAATTAAGAAATGTCTTTTTGTAAAAAAAAAAAAAAA